GTCACCGAGGACAATTGTACCAAGCTCTGAGGACACTAGTGAGACATTTGTTGCCTTCTGTGTCCTGTCCTCAGTGGCAAAATAAAACTGGATGACATTTTCTGCTCAAGGATATCCTCAGTTTCTGTGACTGCTTACACGTGTACACGGTTACTATTAATAAATGCACGATCTTTGCCGCAGATTTTTTTTGGGTAAGTCTTCCCAGGTCAGTTGCTTATCTTTCATTTCAGTCACTAGTTCGTGTGAACTCGATTGTGCATGCAGTTTCCTCATAAAGCCCATGTGTACATGTACAATTGACATTTCTATTTGGCTTAACGTTTTGTTGTCATTAGGGCGCAGTTTCACTTTTTATAGTTGAGGAAAGGAGATGATATTTTGTACCGGAAAGGGTTTTACATCATTTTATTTTTTCAGGTGAAAAAGGCCGGGGGATGTCAAGCTTTTTCTTTTTTGAAGACTTACCTTGCTTATCTGATGGGAATTCATGTAATTCAGTTGGTGTCTGTGGGTTGGGGAATTACCGTAGCTGTTACCGTAGTTTGTATAGGTCAGGTTGGTTGGCATTATCCCGATGAATTTGTTGTGTGCTCAAAATTATTTAAGTCAGCAGTCAAAAAACAGGTCTACACATTTGGCTCATAACTGATATTAGAAAAGACTATTAAACTATTAAAAAAAAGTTAGGAAAAAAACAACCACTTGGTTCTTAGAAAAGCACGGTCACTTTTTTCTCTCTCTTTGTTTTTTTAATTTTTTCATTTGGGACATCCATCAAAACCTTTTTCTTCAGTGGACATTTCTGCAGGGATCATCTTGAATTTCCCCGTGTTGACTCTGCAAATGGAGGGAGAATTGGCTCTAATGCAATTGCTGAACCCTTCTGAATCCTTTCAAATCCTACCAATGGGGATGAATTCTGTTCACACTACTCATGGCTGAGTTCGGCCCTTCTCAATCTTGCCAAATCCAACCCATCATGATCTCATAATAGATACTGAAGGATCCAGGACAAGCTTCATGCCGAGCACACCAGAACTACATGTACACATAAACATGTAGGATTCTAATTGACTTGGATGGATTTGGTGAGGCCTGCACTCGTACTCGTTAAAATGAAATTCTTTGCATTGTTCTGGCAAGCATTTTTATTTTCGACCCACACACCAGTGACTCATTAGAAGATGCCATTTACCCCTACTCTGTGGTATTTATAGTCACTGAAATCAGCCATGCATTGAAGTACATGTACATAAATAAGTGTTCAGTGGTGTACGGCCCCTGCATGTCTCATGTGTCTTATGACATACTGATAACTTGATATCAGTGACTTAAAATTCATGAATATTTCCAGTTTCTAGAGTCCATGTCTGCTTCTGACAGAATTTGAATTTTATGTTCAGAATGAAACTAAAAAGTCAAAATCTTTTCTTCCGTTATCTTTTTAAAAATTACTTGTTTTTGTCATAGAGTACGCGTTTGTGTATTTGTTCTTGTTTTCAATCTTTTGTTTTGATAGGCCAAATTAAGGTTGAACCCTACTGGCCAACCTTCCTGCCCTATTCTAAGACTGCCAGATCTATCAAAATCCCCTAATACTACAGTAGGTTGGTAGAACCAAAGGACATGTACATGTATCAAGAATATAGAGCCTAGCGTTTAAGAGCAAAGACTTTATAGTTAATAGCAGAATATTGTGGCAGGTGATAGAATCCGTGAATTTGGGAAGATTAATTCTTAAGTTTTCTTTTTAGCAAAGTTGTCTAGTAAACTAGATAGGTTTGCGGTAGCACCATGGATATATCTCTTTTTTGAGTACGTGGGGTTCTGAAAAGAACCAGTGGTACTCAAAGTTTCAGACCGTATGCCAAGTTAGCAGTCTCCCGATGACGGACCGAGCGTACTGTCCAAAATGTTGAGTACCACCGGTTCTTTTCAGAACCCCATATACTCAAAAAAGAGATATATCCATGGTGCTACCGCAAACCTATCTAGTTGACTTGCTACCTCCACCTTGAAAAGCTTCAAATCTCATCAAAGTTGTCTAGAATGTTAATTTTGGCGGGTAAAATTTCATGGTTCACATTTTTCTGTAGAGATCCCCTGTTCGTTCATCACCTTTAGGATGATACTAATTATTATGTGCCGGCATGCTACACATAAGCTGGGACATTTATTGTTGGGTGATCATGCACCCATGATTTGTGAATTACACATTACACACAGTCTCTCGTGTAGACTGCTCTACATATTTACATATGCATGTAGGCTTTATTGTACTTAGATGACATTGTTCAATCACAGAGCTTTTTTTTTCCAAGTACATGTACCAATGACCTCATGCAAGTCTGCACCAAATGTGTTTATCAGTGGAGTCTGTTTTCTCTGAAAGGCTTGGCTCAGAGGGAAGCAGGAATTGAATTTGTCAGTTAATCCTGCCCCACAACCTTGGGTTTGTGGTTTGTAAAATCTGACTCACAATTTTAGTTATCTAAAGGAATTATTCAGCCTTAAAGTTGTCCAACTACATGTACATGTAAGCTGACAAAGTGAAAACTTCCTCAGCAATGCTGATTCTGCCCTGATTACTTTATTAGGGGTATTGCCATGAAATAAATTTAGAAAATACAGGTGTACTTGCTTTTATTTTAATCCTGCACATGTATGAATACCGAAGTGTCATATGAGGTGTATAATACATGTACATGTACTTTGGTCATAGTGGATTTTTAATTGGTGCATACAATTGCAACATCTGCCTGAAACAGCACTATAAAGTCTGTCCCAGATCATTTGCTGTTAAATGTTAAATTCATTGCCAAAGCTGTAGGCCTTACTTCTTCTTGTTCTTGATGTGCATCAATACAACCAGCTTTGAAACAAGATCTCACCATGCAGCCCAGCATGCATCCCCTGGGCAAACTGATATGGTATCTCTGACACCAACATGCACTTTCCTTCTGTGATTTTGCCAACAAGACCTGTAGCCAGAGTTCATCAGCAGGCCACTAGGTTTAAATGCCAACATGTCACCACTTCACAGCTGTCTGGCATATCGTGATGTCAAACTCCGTTTGGCACCCAACCCCTTGATATCTGAGATTGTAGGTATCCGAGAATTTTTTTTTTTTTTAATTTGTTTAGAGGTCCTTTTGGATGGCTTTGTAAGTAGAGCTATGGACTGGCAGTTCAGCGTGCATCCTAAAGCCGCGTTCCGGCTGGACTAAAAGTTATATAATGTTACCGTGACTGCCCGGTAACATTCCATGGTGGGTTTTCTTCCGTGTGTCCGCACGTGGATTACTCAGACCTGCAGAATGTCCATGACCATCATGCAGCAGCATGTGCCTTCAGAATCTCACGGGGGCACCTTCCGATGGACCTCATATTATGACACGTGGTGTGGTCTTGGGAAAGCCTGCGCGATTCTTTGAACTTCACACATGTACGTGTACTTTCAGTAGCAAAGTTAGAACTAAATGTGTACATTTTTTCCTGAACCTATTGGAGTGAGACACAAACAGTTCATTACAGGGCAATATGACAGGGCAATATGTCACTCACTTCGTATCATTCTAAATACTTTTTCATACTCAAAAAGTCATATAAACATTTGCATTTAATGTCTGTTTAATAGAAATGAAAATTTGAGATTTCATTTTTAAAAACTGGCCGAAAACTTAATGCTTTTCCCTCAAGTTTTGGATCACACATTAAGTGCGCAGTTGTACAAATAGGTTGCGAACTCAACTACACAGGCATACATGTATGTAGCAGAAATGCATGTGACATAATGGGTTTGTCAACTGTGCGGCATGGGGATAGTAACTGACAAAGTTCAGTTTCAAAGTTGGTTCTCATTTTTATGTCTATGTATGTGTATAGTGATATGCATATACATGTATATATATATATCCCTGCATGAACTCTGCAGACACTCTTTTCAAATGTGTTCTCATTCATGGTCAACCTGGCATATACAGGTATACGTCCCCTTGTCACAGTCAATAAAGATAGCAAATCCTTTCTTATCACTCACAATAAATGTTGACAACTCTGGTGATTGGGCTGGCCAAACACCTTATAAACAGAAAGCATATTTGCAGTGATGTGAGTCCTTGTTTTGGGTAAGGACATCGTTATCTTTTTTTTTCAGCAGTGAAGCTGTTTGACTACAAGGCTGAGTTCGGGCGGCTTGTTCTCGAACAGCTCAATTTGTTGTTTGTGGGTCGGCCGCTCGAACGCCGGGAACAAACAACCGGTTATCCCTGGTAGTTAGTGACAAGCAACATGGCGGCGTCCATGTAGGCTAAGTTATTCAGAGTTAATGTTTGGATGGGCTGAATTCTTTTTTATATAAACAGGAAAATTCATTTCAGTGTTAAGGAAAATAATTAATGTTAATTTTGCAAAACTTTGCAGCTGTTCAAAAATCAAAATCTCATGAGTTTTTCCATGTGTTCCTGTAAAACCCTGATGATTAGGAGGTGGTGTGTGATCCTGTTCCAAGATCAGTGTTCTTGAGTCGTGTTCCTGCCGTTCGAGCGCGAGAACAATAAACCCGTGTCAAGAACAGACCGCCCGAACTCCACCCAAGTTTACAGCGACAACACTGTATTATCTTTACAGCTCAATAATACATGTTGGAACACTGTGTTGCCAAGTTTGTATTGATAGCTAGGGGGCAGAGGAGGGCAGTGTATTGACTCCGCATATGAACGAGAGAGTGTGAGTTTGAACATGGAAATGACGGTCCTTTGGTGGGTTCTCACTGCGTACTCACGCAGATTTATGAGCATCTGACGTGCTAAGTGCATGCAGCCAATTTATGTTGAAATATATACAATCTGTGCATGTGCGCCGGACATGAAAAACATCCCACCAGCCTGTCTTTCCTTTGCCGGTGAGGGTGCCCTTCAAAGCAGAGCAGATACTCTGCACCTTCAAAATATTTAATTCAAAATGTCAACAGTTCTTTCTCGCTTCTTTTTCTGTAGGAAAGTGCAAAAAGTACGATCCATCCTTCCACGGGCCAATAGAAAACAGGTATTGATTTGGAAATTTGACTTCAATTAAACAGTGCATGCTTGTCCAATATGCAGGTAGAAAACTTTTTTATTTAATTTACAGCCTTCTACCGGTACTTTCAGTTCATTGTTGCTGTTAGAGATGACTTCTTTAGAGGAAGATGCTGAAGTTTTCCATTCAAACTTCTCCTTGTATTAAATTATAAAATATTGTCTGGTATTTCTGACTCTGTCCTTCCCCGCCAGGAGCTGTACAGACATAATATGCTGCATCCTCTTCATTGCATTTTTTATCGGCATGATTGTTGTTGGTGGTTTAGGTGAGTCTGATTTTTTTTTTTCATGAAATAGAGTTTGAGGGAGGTCATTCTTGAAGATTTATGAAATGGTCAAGTGTGGCCCATGAAATGGTCAAGTGTGGCCGATTTTATCATTTTGTGACTTATCAGTCTACACGAGGAAGAAGTGAGGAATTGACTTTGGAGGTCTGCATTTTAAAAGTTAGGGATAAATTCTGTTCCCCCACCCCCCCACTCACACGCCCACCCACACACCCCCCTCCCACCCATTGTGTCACTTCAAGTTGCTGTAGTGTGCCCGATGTTCCAGAATTTTGAAACAAGGATCTTGTGTGATGCGAATCCCGGTGCCCGAGAGAGCACAATGAAATGTCGTACCTTTTGTATCAGTTGTACCTTCTACTATCTAGAAGTCCATGATGTATCTGTAGATATAGGGATGCATATTAATGAGGTCAAATGTCACTCGTTCCTGTGTTTTGTTTGTGCCTATGCAGCGTGGTACCAAGGAGACCCTCTGACTCTCATCTATGCGACAGATTCCATGGGGAATGTTTGTGGTCAGTCACCAGGATATGAGTGAGTACAGACCCGAGGCATCGTTAAAGTTGATGCCATGTCCAAATTGACTTGGCTGCTGCTGACAACGCACACGCTTTATGGAAGCCCCCTCCCCTTCAGCTTGTGGCTAGGTCTGGTTCCCATAGGAACCAAGCACTGCCATCAGCTATAGCCAAGAAGTTTGGACGTGACATCAGAGATGCCAGCCAACCTGTCAAGGCGGGTTTTTGGCTCGGTGAAACTCTGACCTGAGGTTCATGTTAATTTAGAATGTTAAGTGCACTCGCCTCACCTAGTACAGCATGTAGGGCCTCAGAACTTGTGGTACTTGCAAGCTTGGCCAATCAGATGACAGAAAAGGAAGAATTGAAGCAGGAGTAACCAATGATGTTTCAGGAGCCAGAGAGCCAGGGCCTGTCCTCATTTCATGAGGTCAGCTTTCCAGTCTTGTACCTTAATCACCATAATTTCATTATCAGTCAAGGATATGCACTTTGATGAGCTCTTACAACTTGCAAAGCTATACAAATTTTCATGTTTAACTGATAACCTTGCATGAATTTTCTTTGACTTTGTGACCCTCTCAGAAATAAGCCCAACCTGTTTTACTTTGATCTGCTGGAGTGTTTCACTAATCCGACAACTACCATACTGGAGTTTGGATGCCCCTCACCCAAGGTTTGTTTGGTGGACTCTATCTACTTGTCTGTTTCTATTTCCCCGTCTCCGACCTATATTCTGTCACCATGTCTTGCATTCTTGAAGTGTGCGACGTTCCAAGTTTCCCAAGAAGACCTCAGAAGTTGCTTAAAATTTCACAGAGCGGATTGTCAAAAATCTGTTGAAGTTAATACCTTTTTAAAGAGAGCCAACTTCCAATCATAATCATGCAACTTGAAACAAGATCCAAATCCAATCTTGGAATCTAGTCACACAGCTCCATATGAGTAATTGCATTAAACAAAAATTGGATGGTGCCTGTAAAAAAGTGGTCAAATGGTTAGGTTCACTTTGACTAAAAGGGTTTAAATGCGATGTTTAAAACTTAATCTGTTCCTGTTGTGTTCATAACTCTACTTTGATACTTCATTTACTGATTCATGAATATAAAGTGGTTGTGTTGGCTGATCAGCTACAGAGAGAGATCGGTTACCATGAATCAGCACGAAGTTTTAAATACTTTGGTCCAAGTGTTTGAAATGTTTCGACCGCCGTTGTGTGTGGTTTGGGTGTTTTAGTGTGGGGTACGTCTTACTAGGCATTTCAAATCACCAGATTTTGTTTCTTTTTTGCCTTCAAAATCTTGCAGTTGGTACGTTTTTCATTTTCAATGACAGGTGTGTTTAGAGATGTGTCCGTCCACAACCTTTGCTCCTTACACACTGTTGTTGGCAGGAAGCTTGCCTGTGTCCATACCCATCGGGGATTCCTTGTGGGACAAGTTCATCTGCCTGGATAACTTTGACCCAATGATGGAGTACAACAAAGATGGAGGACAGTACTCTGTAAGTTGGGTGGTTGGGAGGGATGGGCTGGAGTTGGGGGTAGGGTGGGGTGGGTGGGTTGGAAGAGGTTTGGGTGAGTTAGGCTGTATGGGTTGGAGGGGGATGGGATTGGGTTCCATGTGGTGGGTTGGAGTCGGGATAGGGTTGGGTTGCATGGGTGGGTTGGAGGTGGGCCTGGGATGGAGTTGGGTTGCATAGGGTGGGTTGGAGCTGGGATTAAGTTGGGTTGCTGAGTTGGAGGTGGGATAGGGTTGGAATAGGTACGGGGAGGGTGAATTGGGGTTGCGTTGGGTTATGGGTAGGTTGGAGTTGGAATAAGGTTAAGTTTGGGGGTTGGGTTTGGTTAGGTGGGATTGGGTTGGGCTGGGTCTGGTTTGGTTGGGCAAGGCTATTGCCCTTTGCAAAAGTTCCTGAACACTAAACGGGACTTTCTGTAGCAGTATTCATAGTTCTAATAGATGAAAAGAGAAAAGGTCACAAGTAAGGCATATTCCATACATTTTCCCCCATCTGGAGATAAATTGATCTGCCTTTCCACAAGAGTGTATTTGGTTCATTCTTTGTCAATTTCTGTACTTCATTGCTGATCATCAGCCGCAATTGACACACTGTAAATCTGTGCAGACGACAAACACAAACCCTCACTGTGAAGACATCTGCAGAAAGATGCCCTCAGAGCACAGTTTGCTTCAAAGAAAGTCCACATCGAGAGACAGACAGAAACTATTCATGGTGTGTCCTCTTTTTTCAGGGTCCAGAAGGTTTGCAGAGGATGTTTGAAGACAAGAAATGTGCAGCTTATTACATTCAGAGCGAACCATGTAAGTCTAGAGTTATTGCGGTTGAGGGCTTGGAAAACTCCCAAGATGTCCTGTTCCTTTCTTTGTGTTGACAAATTTATGACAGTCAGTGTATAGATGTGGAATTTCGTGGCATGTTAATCAGACGGAGAGATGATCATAAGGAGGAGAGCGGTCATTTGTACAGCATGACCGTTCCTGCTTACCGGCATTTGTTCCAGTATGGAACAACTTGCCATGTGTCATTATGGGTCAGCCTCTGACAACGAGACCCAAGGTCAGTCTTAGCTGGCACATAATGTTCCAAACAAAGTTGTACCTTTTTTATCTGGGTCATTCCATGACGTTGGGGCACAATTTGTGATGGTGTGAATTGTTACATGGGTTCTGTAAAAATGAACAGTTATTTCCCTGCAGGTGGATTCCAAATTGACATTGTTATAGGTCTTGCAAGGCTGAATACAGAGGTGGGTGTTATGTTTACAGAGCAAATGACCTACTCTACAGGTCATGACAGGTGGTAAAAGTTCCCTACAGTATGTAACAGGGACACTGTCACAAACTGTGCCCCAACCTCGTGGACTGACCCATCTCTACTGTGTACCATGTCCATAGTTTTTATCCAACCTTTGTACAATTGGGTGCATGCTTTTCATTGCTCATGGGAGGTATATCAGCATTCTGTGATTGTCTCACGGTCGACTTTTTGTACAAAATTTGAGCTAAGAAATTTGTGACCAGTGGCCATTTTCCTCTGTCTTGCAGATGCGGACAGATGTATCCCAGCATTCCTGGTCAACAGCAACGCATCGGCTGGCGACATCCTGTCCCAGGGGCTGGACCTGATCAGAATGGTGGGCGGAGACAGCCTGACAAATGACACCCTTGTCAGCAGGTTGCTGACGTGAGTGGTTTTACATTGTATATTCAGGGGTTGGACCTAGAGGTCCGTCCTGGGGTTAATGTCCCCGCAGTTTCACCACTGTGCAGAAACATGAGAGTGTCAGAGTAGGTCATTTTTCAACTGTGCTCCCGTTACCGGCAGAGCTAGACATTTATCCTTACTCTTCCGCTTATTAAATTTTGACTTTCAGGGCTGCTGAAAACTTCTTGGACCTGCGTTCCCTGCTGAGTGTGGTGTACCAAGACTTTGTGTCCTCATGGTACATCATCTTAATGTAAGTTCTATTCCAGTTCCGTAAAAAGGGGGCTTGGTGTGTTTTTAGTTTGGAATGCAAGCGAGTGGATTGCTTCACATTACCCAAATACGGAGAAGGTTAAAAAGAAGTCTTCTTGTTTGCATTGGTAGCACTCAAACTAGGGTAGAAATATCAAAGTTAACGATAAAACAGACGCTTTACTTTTCATTGCGCAGTGCAAAAGAGACGCAGTGTATCAACTTGTTCGCACTCGGTTTGATTCGAACCTGGGTCGCCAGCTTGGAACTGACAGCGAGATTGTTTTGAGTTAGGACTTCTTGTGTCTTTATTTTCTTGCTTTTTTCATTTGTTAGTGGCTTGTCGGTGGGCATGGTTCTGGCCTTGCTGTGGATCATTATCATGCGTTGGCTGGCTGGCGTCCTGACCTGGCTCAGCATCTTGGCTCTCTGGGCAATCCTTGGTGCAGGTAACGTTTTTCTTCCTGGCTTCTAGGCCTGCATTTGTTCCAAGTTTGACCAGAATAGCTGCACTGACCTGACTAGTTTGAATCCCACCTCAGTCAGTTGTCATCCAATTATCATTTGACTGCTGTTTGGAGCAGCTGGTAGGTAGAACTGCCAGCGCTGTATTCAGAAGGTCACTGGTTCGAATCCTAGTTCAGTTGGTTTTCATTGTTCACTTGTGAATTCTTTTCATTCCTCTGTTGGCGGCATCAGCTCGTTGGGTAGAACTATTAGTACTGCAGATGGAAAGTTGCTGGTTCAAATCCCAGTCAGGGAACTGTTCTTGGCTCAACCAGCATTATTAATTATGTTTGCCAGGAATCTACTGTTGCTGGCAGCAGTACGTGTTTCTGGAGGATGTGAAGTCCGGGAGCACGACCATGTCGATGTCGGGGAGCGGTACTCAGACCGGTGCCCTGAGCAGCAGCGACGTGTCGCTCTTCATCTCCAGCCTGTCGGGCTTCCTGCGCCTGCAGACGACATGGCTCGCATTTGGTGAGTCTTAAATCATTTGGGGCATACAAGTTAATCCAGCACACGTCCTCCACAAGTTGTGGTAATTGTAACTCCATCGGTAGTCCTCCCTCTTCAAGTCAAAAGCCGATCGAGTGAACAATCAAGGAACAACATTTCTCGTTTCTTGAATGGTTACCAACTGTTGCCCGTGAAAATGACTGAAGGAGCAACAGTTTTGTAAAGTGATGTTTCTTATGTTTCCAGAAATTTGTAAGTAACAAATTAGACGGCATATTCACTATTTGATCTTAATCAAAAGGCTTGTATACTAGTCAAAGACGCATTTTCTTGTGGTCTGGCAGAAGTTGTGAATTGAATTGAAGAAATTCTTGGTCTTCTTTTGCAGGTATCGCTTTATCCATTCTTCTGCTAATCATTGTCCTGGTGACGCTGTGTTTGTGTAACCGCATCCGCATTGCTGTACAATTGATTAAGGAGTCTAGCAGGTAAGCAGCGCCTACGATTGAAACGTCTGCCCCGCCTCACTCTGCTCTTATACTGCCCCGCCTCACCCTGCCTTATCCTGCTCCGCCCTGTTCCTTTGGCCCAGCCTTGTGCTTGTCCTTTCCAGCCTGTCTCCACCCCACCCTGCCTTGCCTTTGGCACCCTATCTTTCCATGCATTGGCCCCCACTTTGCGCAGCCCCACCTTACTCTACCCAGCCCTGCCCATTCTGCCTAGCCCCACCCTGTTCTCCCCTTTCCTGTCATCCATATGTCCTACCCTACCCCTCCCCGTCTTGCCACACCCTTTTTCTCTGCTCTTCATAAACCATGCCCTACCTCTTTCCCAAAACGCTTCCTAAATTCTGCAGTTTATAAAATATTGTCATTTTAGTTCTCTCAAAGGTAGATGCTTCTGTGAATTCATTTACCATTCGTAGATGTAACCATTTTCTTTGGTCTGTTTCCTTGAAGGGCCGTGGGCTCCATGTTGTCGACGTTGTTCTGGCCGATCGTTCCCTTTCTCCTACAAGTCCTCATCATTGCCCTGTGGGCCACAATCGCTGTGTATCCTTTGGAAGACAAGCTGCATTAAGAATTTTCTGGGCCACACGACCCAACCATTGGTGTGCTCAAGGCACATCTTTATTACCCCTGTAGACATTCCTGAACCATCTCAGCTGGGGGGGGCAGCTTAATTTAGCCATGTCAGGTGCAAATGGTTTCAAATCCAAGTCGAGGTGAAATGACTTGCCCAAGGTCGCAAGGTTGACCATTTGCTAAATTCAACCTCCTGGCCCCGTTATCAGGAGCTTCAAAGCCTACTCGACAGGTCACATACCACCCACCAGACGCTCTTGAGATTTTCCTTGACCAGTGATTTCTCTGCCAGTTTCTTGGCGACCTCCCACCAAGCCAAGTATGTCGTGTACAATGCGCCGTCAAATTTTGCATTGGCAAACGATTCAGATTGTAAGCCCGACGTAAGTGAAATGCATTAATTTTTCGGGTGTAACTTGTAAAATCAAAAGTGATTCTAATCACATTTAGCCACTCACCCTGCATTTGGGTGTCTCTTGGTGTCCTGTAGAAGCCTATGGATGTTGGACTTTGTAGGTCAAAGGTCAGGAGTAACTTGCTTAAACCAAAAGAAATGGTTTTCCCACCATTGCTACCTAAACACAGGACAAATTAATTCCACACTCGGTGTGTGGGTTGGTGTCTGTGATGTGCTTCAGAGTCTTAGTGATTTTGGATCCCATAGGTCAGAGGTCAAGATCATTATTTTTAAAACAAAGTAACTTTTCCCCAAGAGGTATGGTTTTGTGATCACAAATTTAAGTCAGGGGTTAAGGCTTGAGCTGCAGCACATTTGTGTATTAAAATATCGTTAAAAAAAGAATTTATTGACAATTCTTTGTGCTACGCCTGCTTCAGGATTTTCTGCCGGATGGCAAGTACTTCAACATGACAGCATCCTGCATGTTCGTGTCCTACATGCTCCCCGCCTATGTCACCTACTTGCAGTTCTACAACCTCTTTGGCCTCTTCTGGCTCACCGAGTTTGTGGCAGCCTTGGGCCAGGTCACCTTGGCCGGGGCCTTTGCCTCGTACTACTGGGCCTACCACAAGCCTCAGGACATCCCCACACTGCCCTTGTGGGGTGGGTTCTACCGCGCTTTCAGGTACACTCCCCCCTCCTCGGTCCAAATCTGTCCTCATTCTAGGCCACGTCCAAATTTCCATGGCTACGATGTGCCGTGATGCAGGTCTTTATGGAGATCCACTTGGTAGTGGCTGCAGTCACTTCTCATGGGCTCACGCACTGTTGCTTGCCGTAGCCAAGTAATTTGGACAAGGCTTTGGCCGAGGAGAAAACAAATCCATTGCTGTTGATGCAACATCTAATGTAAGGTTGTTTCATTGAGATCTATACTATGCACAAATAGAGATTTTGATGTTGTACGTTTAGATTGGCCAATCAGAAGATAGTTAGGAAGGTGGTTTGTTTTGATCGGCTGTGACCGTGCCCAGCAACCAAACTTAAACTCTTCACATTAGAAACCATGAAGGGTCATGGTAGGGCTCTCCATGTCACTTTAGTATACTCGGTTAAAAGGAGGAAAGTGTAAGTATTGATTTCATGATCGATAATATTGATTTTGAGTTCCTGTATTGATCAACTTTGAATCAACCATCTATCAATCAGTTGTACCATAACTTCTATCTGTTGATTGTTGGTCAACGGTCATTTTAAAATTTTTCCAATTATCATTCAGGTATCATCTTGGCTCCATCGCGTTTGGGGCTCTCATCATTGCAATCATTAAGATAATCCGAGTCCTGCTGGAGTACGCTGAAGTACAGCTTAAAAAAGGTAATACAGATTTTTCATAAGTGAACTTTTTATCAAAATTTGCCGAATTTCAATTCCACCTTGTAAAATGCTTATCAGGCCCCCCGCTGCTCATTCGACTTAGAAAGCCATAGTCGACCCCAAGCGCTGGATGGTCGAGTGGTGAGAATTCTACACTAGAAAGTGGCAAGTGATGGGTTAAAGTCCCACCAGAGTGAACTCGTGATTTTTTTTCCCACAAGCCATCACCCAACACTAAGTGTACTTACTCAGGTTGGCGAAGTGGTTCTTTCCTCGCCTTCCAACTCTGCGGTCCAGGTTTGAATCCCGGCCCGGTCCACATGTGGACTTGGTTTTCAGTCTCTACCTGATTCCCTGGGTTTTACCCAGAACATTCCTCTGGGATTTTCCTCCCACCTCTAAAACTGTGACTGCTTCTCATTGTATGCTCTCTACAGGTTTCTTCAAGGCTTGCAAACTTACAGTGCCTAAGGCTCTCAGCTGAGGAATCCTTGGTGTCGTTCCCAGAAATGAAATAATAGCAATAATAATATAATATAGAAATTGCAAATGCACAAAGATGAAGGGCAAAGTGCCATTTTTGACAAAAATTGGCATCTCTGTGATGCCGACTCACATCTCATAAAATACATTTGTGTGAGGTTTATTCACTCTTGGTCTATGGTGCTGTATTTTAAAAAAAAAATTTGTATTTATTTATTTTTTTTTGGGTTATTTGGTAGGCAAGGAGAACAAGATCGTCCTCTTCATCCTGAAGTGTCTCAAGTGTTGCTTCTGGTGTCTGGAGAAGTTCATGAAATTCCTGAACAAGAACGCCTACATCATGGTCAGTAGAACGTCGGCAATATCATGGAATCAAATAAACAGACCGAGTGTGTCCCAGAGCGATGCCATTTGTTACTCGCCACTTGAAGCTTCTCATATTTTTCAGCATTGCCAACTTGTATAAGACTTTCGGTTTGATATCTGGAGCTATTTGAGTTTGTTTCTGGTGCCGCAGTCATGGATGGCTCATTTTCAAGTTGGCACCATTCATTTTTACGACACTACCTTTTGCAAGAGAGGGTGCACTCAAGCCAGCCCTGTAGCTGTTACCAACCCCAGTGCTTCGTACCTGTTACGTTACCACACTTGAGACATCTCAATTCACGGTACGACCAATTCAAAGCGTATATAGATCTCAGCTGGGTATCAAGTGAATGATGGCAAAGAGCTATGAGCAGCTTTGTTGACTGTCGGTTTTTTTTCTTTTGGGCTCGTTTGACAGATTGCCATTTACGGCAAGAATTTCTGCCGCTCGGCACGGGAGGCATTCTTCCTACTCATGAGGAACATCATCAGGTGAGCGTGATATTGCAGCATTGGGGATGAAGTCACTTTTCCTTGCTGGACAGTAAAAAGTTTGCCCTTAACCTTCCGATGTTGGACTTGCTGCTTCCCCATGTGCCATGTTGGAGACCCAGAAACCTGAGGCCCGCAATGTCATATCACCACTTGCTATCTGTTAAGCGGAAACATTTTCGCTAATTTAAAATAGGTCACCAGCCAAAATGTCAGGCAGTGTGTATCTTGTGGCTGGTTCCCAGCTGAATTTTGCTCATCGCAAAGATTGTACCCTGCGACATCTCACGGCTCTGTGAAATAAAGTTCCAGTCATTGATAGTCTAATGTAGTGATTGTTCATCCTGCCCAGGGTTGCTGTCATCAATAAGATCACCGACTTCTTGATCCTGCTGGGTATCCTCTGCATCACGGCCGGCGTCTCCGTAGCAGCATTCTTCTTCTTTACCAACCAGATCACCTGGGCGTCGAACATCCTGGACGTGCCTGATGTCAATTACTACTGGATCGTTATCATCGTGAGTAGACTGTTCCATTCTAGCATCCTTCACCTGTTGGGAAATCATTGTATTGAAATTCATTTTCTCTGTTAGTTTAATCAGGTCTGGTAACACATGCAGCCATCACCATCATACATACACTAATGTCAGGTACAGTGCACTGTGTGGTAATGTTGTAGTGAAGTCCTTCACTAGTACTTCACATTATCTTAGGTGCTACACAAATAATCAGTCCTAGTACCCACAATTTCAGGTACAGTGCACGGTGTGGTAATGTTGTAGTCAAGTCCTTGACTAGTACTTCACATTATCTTAGGTACTACACAAATAATCAGTCCTAGTACCCACAAGCTGTACTCTTGTGTGAATTGTAACAAAGGCATATCTTTGTGATTGTTCAGCCTCAGTTAGTAGTTAGAATTCTTGTGAAACTATTTGTGACAACTATAGTGGAGACCCTGGTCAGGTACTAGTGGAGTACTGGACTGGATTGAACACTGCTGTACCCCCAGCTTATGGTACAGTATGGTGGCAGGATCTAATGTGGATTTGAGAGGTGGGAGGGCGCAGGTTGAAGTTCAGGAAATCTCAGAGTGCCAACCCACCCCTCATCCCCGATTTTTCTCTTCCTCCCCTCCTCGCAGGTGATTGGGCTGGGCGTGTACGTCATCGCCAAGTGCTTCTTCAACGTCTTCGACATGGCGGTGGACACCCTCTTCCTCTGCTTCCTGGAGGACCTGGAGCGGCACGATGGCTCGGCAGAGAAGCCCTACTACATGTCCAAGGCCATGATGAAGATCTGTGGCAAGAAGAACAAGTCCAAGCCCGTGACGGACAATGAGGACGAGGACGAATGCGAGTGGTAGGACCTCTTTGCAAAACACAGGCAGTGATGTAACTACGGGGGCTACGTACCCCCCAACAAGGTCCATTACCCCCCCAAGGTGCCTCTTCCCCATCTGAAAGTCTGAAATGTACACAACCTCATGTACACTCCGTAGTTCATCAACTTTGGGGTGCCCTCAGGGAAAAATGTGTGTACCTTGGGTTCCCCCTTCAAGTAAAACCACTGAGAGCAAAAATAATTTCTTAGAAAAAAAAAAGTAACCGGCTAGTAGGCCACAGCATATTGCTCATGACTGGTGCCGTGCTAATTGTTTGCTCGGAATCCATGTCGCGTCAGTCCAAGTAGGGAGTATTTTTGTTGGATATGTCCTTTTTGTCCTAAAGTTAGGGCTCAAGCTGACTTTTCTTAATTGTTCTTGGAAGCAAGTGTTTTACACATTGGTTTGTTTTATTTAAAAAGAGCTTCTGTACTGTTTTTAGGCTTGTTTGTAACAGGATTTTTGAGTCAGGAGCCTTGTTTTTGTTTTGCTTGGAACTCGTTCAAAGGGATGGGGGACATAGGTAGAGAACTGTTTACATGTATATGTTGGATATATTGGCCACTTATCATTTTGCTGTAAAAATTGTAGTTTGTAAACATGTGTATTTGTATTGTTTTGTGTTGAGCAATGAGTAGATTGTAAGTTCTTTTAACAGTATGACTTTTTTAGTCAAAGGTGTCTATTTTTATATCACGTAATTTAAATTTGGTATTTTTCACAGTTAATTCGTATGGGTTTACGGTGGGAGGAAATTTTTTAAAAGGAGACGAAATTCTTTTGGGTGATTTGGGTGATCTGTGCACTACAGATGTTGGAAATCTGAAATGTCATCATGGATTCACCAAAATCTTTAAATGAAACAATCAATTGAAATCAGTTGAAATTCCTCTCCAACTGTAAAAGTATCAGGTTATTATGTAACATATTTGAACATCTTTCTTGCTGTTTTACATGGAACTGTTGACATATTCCTGATTCTAAAACTGGCATTTCTAACGTTCATGCAATGGTATTTTTCAACCTTTTGAGCTTGTAAAGAACATTTCAGCATTCTGTCTCCTTCCTTGAGGCAAAATGAAAACCTGCCATAACACGTCTTTAATGTTTCATTCTGGAAGATAGTACCTGAAAAAGGCGTTCTCAGATAGCAGGAATAATATATTTGCAGTGCTTTCATTCATTATCAGAATGTCTGTAAATTCAGCAATTAGGCATTGTTGGTGTAGAAATGCATGCATTTTGAGCTGAGAAGAATCTGTCAAACTTTCCTTAAGTACAAAAATGTGAGTGCAAACTGAATGTAGAGAATTTTAGCTCAGGTGAATGGGTGACGTGAGGCAGTTTGGAAAGGCGTTTTTTTTTTATCAATGCCGGGAGGGAGTGTGTCATGTAACCATTACCACGTAATTGCCTGTATTTTAACACTGATATCTGTTGTGTATGGCAGTTGGTCAGTTCAATTCAATACATGTACCTGAGAATGAAATTCGCAATAAGAAAAATTGCCTCGGCTGAAATTAGGGAAGGATGACCAACTGTTGTGAACATTCATCAAGTATCGTGCAATTCAAGCACATTTTTTCCTTATTTGACTTGCTTTGCACTTTCATGTTTACTCTTGGGTAAATTTCTGGGGATGTCTGTTGCATCAAGTAAACCACTTCACTTTTCATGGGAAAAATTTCTCCACCCCTGAAAACCCATCATATGCCCACAAATCTCATAAACATCCATAAGGTGATCTTAAAAGTGTTGATTTGAGATGTATGTTGCTCTCTGTTGTGCTCCAGGCTTGACTATTGCCTCTCTATCAAAATCCAAGTCAGAAAGCAACCAACAATTTCCAGCAAAACCCTTCTAACTCTTCCATCCCCCAACTGATCCCACCAGAAACCTTATCTTCACTAGAAGATATCAGTGGAGCGATTGCTTACTCTACCAAGATCTATCAGAAACTCCAGAACTGAACTAGCTTCCTACCATTATGCACTTATTCTTGAGTAAATCAGGGGAATTTCAATGCAATGTAATTACCGTTTTTGTCAATTTCTGTGTCGTATGGCGGTAGCGTTTGTCTCTGTAGATTGTTAACAAAGGGTTCAAGAAAGGCTGATGTTTTATCATTTTGTGTTGCGTATTTCAATCACACATGTACATGTATTTGTCAATGTTCTCAGGTGTTTAAATACAATATCGTATGTGGAGCCAGTTTATACATACCAACTCGTGCCTTTGCCAATGCATGCTTTTGTCAACCCTTAAAAAATCCTCAGAATTTACTCCGTTATTTGTGCTTCAGCAGACACCAGATATTTAGGCTGCATTTTCCGATTTTTTTTTTGTTCCACTATTTCATGCTTTTTATCCTTGGATTATAGAAACAAATTGTTGACAAAAATGAAGGCGACTTGTACTAATTAAAACTCTGGAAAGTTCCATGCACTCAGTTATACCGTATTTGTGTTTAGTCTTCTTCAAAGACATGTTAAAAACCAGACAGATCTTGTATCAAATTCATCCCAAATTGCGTGGGATTTCAGTATCATCAGTGGCAATAAACATTTCCAATTAGCAAAGCTGCGAGTGAGCACTGGCAGAGATGGCCTTTTCCCCCGTATGTAATCAAATCTATATTTTCACATTTCGTATAATCTATGTATATTTTAGTCAATCCAATCTGTCTATATCATATGCTGTAGCACCAGTGTCGTCTGTGTATTTTGTGATCGGCTTTTTAAATTTCAGTACTTAAAAATGTCTTCTGTTCTCACAGATATTTATAAATATGAACAATAAAGCAACGAAAACTTCAAATGTGGTTGGTGTTGGCACGTGAACTTTTTAAAGTCGTAAAACCGCGGCCTTCCAAATACTTGTTTTGTCGTTACGCAAATTTTATGATACCAAACGGTGAGGTGTCATCAGCTATTGCAGTCTTGGCTTCTACAAAAAGGAGTTAAACCACGCCACGGTGATTAGCAGTGGTTAACTTGTACTAAATTTGGGTAAGTTGGTTATCAGGAAAATTCTCCGTATGGCTGATTTCGATTATAATTTTCGTTTTATTTCACTGTTATTTTTAACGAATACAGCCTAGTTCCTACACATAGTGCATCCTGTGTAAATGCTGCGGGCGCTTCGCATCCCGCCCCGGTTGTTAGCGAGGCGATATAATGTCCATTATTTTAAGGCGTTGGCAATATCAGATTGCCCACGTGAACTGTGCCCAGAGTTAAATCCGTTTTGTAGCTTTTTTTATTTCTTGGCTTCGTGTATTATTATTGCACGCTGTGATTCGCCTTAGAGAGAATGAGTCGATCATGCAGAATATTATCGCAAGAAAACATTTTTCACACTTCTAAAAGTCACAAATTCCTTGACGGGATTTTTCCCCTCCGGATAGTAGTCTAATGGTTTCACGTTAGAAATAATTGTGACTGGGCTTATCTTCTGGACTCTGCCTTTCACTTTGCGCTAATTGGAGGGAAACTTGAAATTTTAGAAGATTTTGTTCACTCCCCGCATTCTTCTTTCGTCATTGGATAAAAAGTTAGACGGGTTTCTACAGCGGTGACATTTTTTTCCCCTGCGGTCGACGAGCGTTGCTGTTTGTGTTTAAAAACGCATATTTGCACTAAATTAACACGCAGTGAGTTTGCAGTGAACTCGGATCCAATATTTGATTTTGGAGCTGAGTCACCCCAAATCACTCATACGTGTTCTCTGCTCTGACAAAGGCATAGGCCTATTGTGTAAGCCTACACTGAACGTTTTTCTTGGCGATTGTTGTATCCGCTATTGTCTGGTTTTCGTTGAATACCAACTTCCCGATTAGCTGTAATCCCTGAACCCGGAATATTTAACCAGAGAGACAGCGCCGTCACAACCCTTAATAAATGTATTTGCTGTGCGTTGCTTCCTCGAAGGACCGAGTTGGAGAATTTTGAAACGTCGCAATTTTGGAGCGCTGTTGTTGTTTTTTTCGTCAATCTTATACGACGCCAATTCACCTACGACGACTGGAAATGACTCAAGTAACAGCCTTGGACGGTGGAGACGAAGTGGAAGTGAAGTCGAAGTATGGTAAGTCCAGATTTGAATGTTCAGAATTATTGGGGCCCGGCAGGTGTTTGTAAGACCCCCAGAAAAGGCATGAAGTAAATAAGAATCTCGAAAGGTGTAAATGTTGAAACGGGCCTGGGTCTTTGGGAAGTGTTGTTTGGAGTTACCAGTTTAGGAAAACTGGAATAATGCTGAAAGATTAAAATTCCATTCACTCAAAAGTACCCCCGACCACTAACAGCCGAGGCAGATTCCTCTCCATTGCATCTTATGTGCCGGATCGGATATTTTATCGAAACTCCAGATGGATTTTGAAAAGTTTCTTTTATCTGCCTGTTAGGTTTCGTCTCATTTGGACAAAAGATTTCATAATTATATACATGTACATGGTAAATCAAGATTACCGTACCTTCGCTCGTTTGGCCTGAACAGCACCTTTGCATTAGTGGAAAACTAATGTGATAAGGTTTGTCAGTCAAACATTCAAACATTTAACTTGCCGTAGGAAACTGATGTCTCATGATTGCTAGTGAGAGGATCAATTCCCAAGTCGAATAAGACAGTACCTTGTCTTTTTAACTGGGAAAAAAGTGGGCGATGATCAAGTGTTGACTTTTCATGTGTGATATTTTTGTTGATTGTCAAAGTATGAGGACGTGAGGAATCATCGACGTAATTGCTCGCACATACCAAATTTATTATTATATTTTCCTCATATTGCCTTTTAAAAACCATATGTCTGGGTTTCCATCCAATCCACAAATTACAAATGGTCGCAAGTCAACACGATAATTTCAATGATAGGTCATGTCAAAACGTGCTTTCTGTTCTATTATTCTCGGCTCCGCTCCCTGTTGATGACGATCTAAATAATAGAATAGGCCTTCAGATCGGATTTCACATTTCAATCCGTCAAGGTCTATCTAAAAACAAACTGACTATTTGAACAGCGCCCCCACTAAAGAACATTGTTTTATGAAAACTAATTTTCATTTCAAAATATTTATCGCTTCCAATAATGAATTACTGAATTTAAATTAAACCTATAAACGTCTAATTAAATCGACCTGCATGTACTTGGACACTGCTGGGTAGCGGGAGGTGTTAAGTTTACTACTTTCGTTTGTAGCCTGTTTTCTTTTGTAGCAAAAGCTAAAAAAAAGTCCTAAAAACTTCCCGGCATCGACATCTGAAATTGCAGTCGTCCTTGGCTCCAGTATCATGACTTGAAGGAAGGTTGCCGATTGCTGGAAAGTGCGCCCCTGTCAGTCACGTGCCGCCAAGCAACTGTTGTTGTATACGTTTTGACGTCATGCATTTGTAATGTAAATTAAGCAGAAAATCGATGCCCAGCCGATCCGAGAAAGTGTTGATTTGCCGAGAAGTGGTGGAATATTCGTGACCAGCAATTTGCGAGGAAAAGTTGCCGTTTTGGACTTACTCACACTGAAATATCAGGGAACATGGGAAAGAAAGGGAAGGTGGAAGACGGGCAAGCCCTGACGGAAGGTGAAGAAAAGCCAAAATACGGTGAGTTTGGAGTTGGAGAAAGTGGCAGACAATAACTGCTGTGACCGCTTGTCCGTATGCCACTGCAGCCTAGTGTGTCGATCCTCGGTCTTGAGGCCTGTAAATTTTGTCTTCGCGTTGGCCTGCTCGCCGATCAAATTTCCTGCGGGGATTGCCTTTGTTGAACGCCACATTCATGTGTAATTTTTAAAGTAGAAATCACCTGTTGACACTTAATAACATCATGGAGGTGCAGTTTATAATTTTCTGAACGTCTTTCTACACTTTTTTGTATTTGTTAAATGGACAATAACTATTTCTGTTTGTTACCTTGCCCAGTTGTCAAGCCTTTTTCACGTGAAGGTTCACCCAAGGATCTTAACTGTCCGGCGATCACACACAACAATGATCGATTTTATTCATTTGGTTTTCTCATAACCTGTCAAGTGTCACCTGTTTTCAATGGCTTTAATTACTAATTAGAAGAAAACATAGGTGTAGTCAGCCCAGGTAAAAATAACGCATTTCTCGTTTGTTTATTAAGCATGATCTTTTCTGTGCGCGTTACGTGTTTATTTGTCCCCGCTGACTTGATTGACCTGAACAAGAGATCATAAATTGGCACAGTTTCTGAGTCATAGTTTTGAAACGCTCTTCCTTACTTTCATGATTGTATGAGGCCAAAGTTTATTTTCCTACCATGCAATACAGTAGCTTGGTGCATGACGTAACCTCAAAATTTACATTTGCCTTGTTACTTTAAAAGAGGATGGTATTTTTAGATAGTATTTTGTGTAGTTGGTGTTTCTTATTTGGTATTTAGACAGCTTGGCAACTTTGTCTTTTGCTTTTTGTACTAAGGGCCAGGCAGTTTCCTGTCTCCCTGCTGTTTGGTTTTTCAGCCCCAAAAAGCTAACATTGTACGATTGTGACATATAATTCCTCAATTTGGCTTGCTAAAGCAGACTGAATTCCATCAGTGAATTTAAAAAAAAAAAAAATTTACAACTCTTGTTTCTTTATCACATTGGGTTTGGTACTAAAATACCCATTTTTTTCCCAGCTGTGTTATTTGCAGTGAAGTAGCCTATATGTAACAAGGTTTATTTACCACTTTATGCGGTATTATATGACACTGCTTTTGAAGCTACATGAAAATGTATATTTTTTGTGTGCCTGGTGTTAACCATACCAAGCTGTTATCAAAATAACGTTGATTATGTTTTCATAAAATCTTCTCCATGTAGGGTAAATTTAATCATTGTTTATGGCAGTTCTTTTGGTCATAGCTCTCTCAGCCATTTTGTCCGAGTTTAAAATATCCATGTCTGAAGATGCACTAAAAATAACATGACAGTGATGTCCCCTGCAGTGTCCAGTGCACACGAGTAGCATGCCTCATTTCGTTGAGGTCAGTTATTTAACAGCCGGCTTGTCCGGAGTCTTGTACCAGACACTAATTGGCTCATTTTTTACCCAATACAGGAGATGCATGGTTACCATAGAAACCATTAATGTTGTTGCCCACTGTCATAGATTAAAGAAATAGGGGACACTTCCTTGACAATATTTGAAAAAAAAAGTTTTCCGGAGAAACATCTATCGTACATGTGTACAGTCGGATTACCATTTGGATGAACAAGATCAAGTTAAAAACCTGACATTTTCACACTGATAATTACTAGCCTGCACTGTAATTGCACGTTAATTACATGTATATATTCCACGTTATTAACATTAAGCTCCCCCCCCCCAAAAAAAACTGTAAAGGTGAATTGTATCCTTGATGACGAAAGCTCATTGCTTATTGTCAATGTGCACAGAACGGCTCCAATGTAGAAAGTGCTTTTGCTGACCATGTAACCTTTAACTTGGAGTAATTGGAGCATTAGTGTTTTTGCTTCAGTGATGGTGCATCATTGGAGCCTTCAACAATTAAATCATACACGTACATGTACATGTGTTTCTACCAGAAATCTATTTCAGGAACGCTGTAAGATCGAATACAATCACACTTACAGTATTGCAAGTCAAATCAGACCAAGTCAATGATGTGTACAGGTCGGATCAAAATGAACAGTTACGACAGAAATTTCTGTTTCAATTGTTGTCCCAAATTGTCATCAATGTTCCATTTCGCTTCGTTTGAATGGCTTGCTGTGGGGACTGGGGGACTCGTTATGGGCTGAGACACTTGTAGGATGCCAACATACAAATTTGGTGGCCAAATACATGTGAAGCTACAGCGAGTTCTGATCACAGTTTATGTCAGGGTCACTGTCATTTTGTTGCTTGCAGAGATGCCGGGAAAAAATGACTGAGGTACGGGGCTCTCGGAGAAACTGGAGGATTCAGGGACTTTCTGAAAAAGAAAATTTGAAAATGTTGGGAAGTAATTGACAAAAATGAGTGGACTTATTCAATTTATATACATGTACAATTTAAGGATTCGTATAGCATTTGCTTTCCCCATCACAGGAAATTAAACAACAAGTGACAACAACTTTCTTGGATTCGTACTGTGTATTCGTACTGTGTATGCTTTAGCGATAGGGGTACGGTGCAATATACTTTGAATAGGTAATTTTTATCTTAAAAATACCGGTACACAAAGTCAAATGTCCTTCTAGTTCTTTTACCTATTATTGTGTGTTGTTCTCAGTCACATTCCCAGCAGGGGCACATACATGTCAGAATTTTTTTTGTTCATTTGCATAAAAGAACAAAACAGACTTAGTTTTGAGTAGGAGCTCGGATTGTTCTTGTAATGAATGTTTCCTCACATTTTGGTATATATTCAAAGCAAAACCATAAATTTTGTCTGGTGTCTTCCAACACTTTTTTTTGTACATTAATCTCATACAACCAACCATTTCTAAGTGCAGGGTTTTTCCCTTACACTGACATTAATTAATTACCACTGTATACTCAGTGCTTTTGAAAATCATACTGTTCTTATTCACCAGATTACTAAAACTTTTCTGAGAACCAGGTTTTAGAAATCTGATCAGTTCAAATATTGTTTGTCTGACCCTCAGCTAATTCAGTTGTTCAGTTCAGAGCCACCTATGGCCCCCCTATAATCCTTAGTTTATTTGACTTGCAGTATTTTTATTGTCTCTCTGCTTGGCAATGGCTGCCAGTGTTTATCCCTGTTGTCAGTTACTGTTCAGAGGTGATCCGGTACTCATTGTAGTGCAGTGCAAGCACCTGGCCTAGTGCTATTGTCAAGCGTCACAGTTGCCTAGCAACAGAGAAATGAAGGTAAACGGAGGGAGCTGGCCACATGCTCTTGCCTGCTGAGGGTCAATACCTACACTGTTGTGTGTGCCCTTCAGTGCTCATAAATGGCTCAATGGCCAGCGTGTTGTGTTGTGCAATGTAGGCTACATTGTAATGCTGCAGAAAGACATGTGTTAACAGATATGTGGGATCATTGATTGAAATATAATGCTTTTTGTTTGATTTTTCATCAGATCAAACAGTGTGACATATCTGTTTTAACCTATTCTTTACAACGTCACAATTTTAACCCTTCAGTGGCATTGTATAGGCCTACATTTCACAAATGACCAATAGATGTAAGGCAAGACACCGTGATAAATACATGCAACTATTTTTCATGTCATGACAAAAATCAGTTTGTGCAGATTTGTACAATTACTGCAAATTTGTCAGAAAAATGCCACAGTTTCCCATGTTCATACATGTACGTATTAAATCCGAATTTTGTCCAGAAATGGAAAATAAAATATAACAAGAACTACAGAAAATGCACAAAGGAATTTAGCAATTTGAGATGTAGTGTATGCAGTGGTATATTGCTGCCAATTTGTCGATGTGAGCCATTCCCCTTAATACCAAAGTACATGTATATGAAACTTTACAGATTACCTCATCATGAGGAGGACATAGTGTTATCAATATCTTAAAAATATGAACCCTCGGGAATGAATGTTTATCTTTGTATTAACAGTGCTCTTATTTGTGGCGTTCAACTGTTTGTATGGTGGTGTGTTTAAAAAACTTACCCCCTCATATACCGGTTGGTTACAGTTGTAAAACACGAAACATTTAAATGAACAAATAAATTAAATTTTTAAGATCACAATGATTTCATCTTTGAAGTGTAAATTGCTACGGATGTTTTTTAGTAGTATTCTTATATGCGTGTTGGTCATTAGTCATGTTATATGTTTTATTTTTTGTGAGTGTGAACTGTAATGGTAAATGTTGAATATTTTTTGTAATTATATAATTATGATTTTTTTTAAATTCTTATTTTAATTGCTTTTTTTTCATTATTTGATTGTTAAATCCATTGTAATTCAGTTTTCTTTTAACTGCAAAAATGGATTTTTAATAAACCAATATGAAATGAAACAACCAATATGAAATAAAAACCAGTTAGAGCTTACAGCTCCCGAGAATAGAAGATCAGTGAAATGTACATATAAAGCTACATGTAGTAGAGCCCAGTTGGTAATGGAATATGCCAGGTAATCAACCCCCCGCTAATAACATTTGTTCTGAGTAGGTCCCTTCCCTTCTTGCTTGTTTTTGAACTAGCTCGTCCATTATGGACATGAATATCCAGTCACCGTTAAATTCTGATACTCTGCTGGATAAGGTTGGACAACCTTTGTCTCAGGTCCATAGTGAAAGAGAAAATTTAATGATCTTTTCAAGCACACACGGTTCGTTTGGGAGTCATTCTATAAATACATGTTTGGGGGTTCAATGTTTGTGTGTTTCTGTCACGTCTGGTTTGTGATTGTACATGAGTTGAGAATGCATTGTTTAATTTCCAAGAGTGATTAAGTGATGCCAATTACTTTTCAATTAGGTAAAAATAGTTTGGAGTTATCTCCATGTCAAATTACCCAGGTTAGGTGCAACAGAGGTGCAAAATGTCAGGCTTTTGGAGCCCGAATTGATAGAATGACCATGTGGTCCTTGCATTGATTGCGAGGAAAATTCATTCCATTTATGTAGTTATAATGTTTCCTAACTGTGAGAGGACGAGACATTTCTAGCCTAGCAGAATCTTACCTTTGTGAGAGCTGCCGACACTTCATGTAGAATTGAAACAGCAGGCTCTCTACTCTATTGAAATGTCCCTGTTCCAACTTGCAGTGAAAGAAGTTAGCATAGTGTACTGCTTTTCTGATTATTATCATTATTATTATTTTTTTAAATTTTGTTTTCCAACAGGAACACCAAAGAAATTTGACCCAACTTTTAAGGGGCCTATTGCAAAAAGGTTAGTGAAATTTTCACGTTGGGATTTTGTTCATCCTCGACAATACATTATGTTTGGACATAGAGTATGGATGTTTTGGGACTTCATCTCAAAAAGATGCCGTAGTTTTGTGTGGTGGCTAATTTCTGTTTTGTGTTGCCTCTGTTTCTACAGGAGTTGCACAGATGTCATCTGTTGTATTATATTCATTGCCTTCCTGGTCGGTATGGGCGTGGTTGGCTATTTTGGTGAGTTCTTAGAAGAAAAAATGTCCAACCCTGTTTTGTTTTTCCTTAAAAGAAAGAGATTGACTCCTAAATATCTGTACCTGTCAACAAGAACACCATTTTGAAACAAAGAATTTTATTGACGAGAGTCTGATGTGCTGAATTGGCGAAGTACTTTTAATTATAGTTTACGAACTGTGTATGAGACTCTCATTAAATGGCAAAATTTTCATTGACTTCTCTTTTTTTTCGGCTTGTAGGCACCCGTCTCTTCCTCTTCAGAGGTAGTGACCATGCCAAGAAATGTTTGTTTTCTGACAATTGTAATTGATTGCCTTCACAAGTTTAAATTCCAATGTAGGCTGAAATATTTGAAAAGAAAAAAATCCTGAAATAATTTGTTTGTCAAACATGAAAGGAAGAAATAACTGAATGTCAGTATAGATTTTTTTCAGTTTAGAAATAGGAGACCTTTATCGAGTAGCAACTGGGGGAAAGCATTGTTCATCCCTATCAATATTAATATAGTAATTTCCACTAGCATTTTGTTGACCTCGGGAAGGGACAAAATGTCATATGTATAATTGGATTCTGTTCAAGGACTGTTAACGTCCAAGATGTTCAGGGATGATCTGAATATTTATCTGTTTTGGGTTTTTCACAGCTTACAGAGATGGGGATCCTCTGTCTCTGGTCTATCCCACCGACTCCAGAGGACAGATCTGTGGAGTTTCAGAGGCCGTCAAGTAAGTAATACCGGTAACAGTAGGTCGTCATTAGTCTTCAGTCTCAGATACTGGAGAATAGTCTGCATTTTGGGGAAAAAGTCTTTGAATCCGGCTTGCTTACAGCTGGATGAAATTCATTCCATCACTGTGCAGAAAAAGAATTGAAACCCCCCCATAAAAATCCCAAAAGTACAAGAACTTGCATTTTGATGTGGTGCCGTCATAAGAATCATTGGTTGAAAAATTCAAATCTTGTGAAAAACCATTTGTGCAAAACACTGATAGAAAACTACTCGAAACAAGGATTCAAAGATGATATTTCAATGCCAAACACCACCACAGGTAGTTTACAGTAAAAGAGCAAAATACATTTGACATTGTACTCGTGGTTATGAAGTAGACATTATTGTTTTCTGTAACTCCAGTGCTTTGCTTTCAAATAATTGCACAGGTGTATCAGGGGTGCAGTTTTCAATGCACTAGTAATACATGTACACGTACATACTTTTTAAATGAATGCTGTACATCATTATGGGGATATGCCCAAATCAATATCAAGCTGAATGCTTACCATTCAGATGAACATTGACCAGAATGCATTTACCATAACCCAAGAATCAATAATGAATTGAATGAACAACACCAATTGCCCGAGGTTAATTTATATGTTGGTACACATAGCTGTTATGAGAGCTTGATGATATAAGTTCGTCTGTACATGTTGCATATGTATACAATTTTACAATAATTTTACAATATCTTCAGTGGTAGAAATCGGGTCTGATTTTCTTATACAAAACTGAAGTTGGTAATGCTTTTCCTTTAAAAGAAAAACAAAATGTCTTCTGATATTGTATTTAATAGAGTATCAACAGCATAATGATTACTACATATTCATCATAAGAATCCTCATAAGATTTAACATTTCAGCACCAACAATTCAAAATTACTGACAGCTTTGTAATAATACAAGCATGCAAAATCCGCCATGTAACCAGGAAGTTTTCCCTCAGCCTTTTGAAAAAGAAAAAATGCAAACAGTGCTGTTGAATTTTAACAGGACATAACCACCCGTCACTATGTTTACTCTCACACTTCAAAGAACCAATGACGTTTTCCACTATTGGCTGACATCTGCTCGACATTATCACCAACAATAGACTCGTCAAACAACACGGTTCACACTTCATAACCCGTGGTGTCTGTTATTTTCCCTCGTCAGAGATAAGCCCTATCTGATGTTTTTTGACCTCTTGTCTTGCGTGGCATCGCCCTATACCACTCTACTCGAGTTCAAGTGCCCAACGACACAGGTACAAGCAGACATCTTTAGAACTTTACGATAAATTGTGAATATGACTGGTTTGAGGGCCATGGGATAAATTCAACCCCAAAAAAACCTGACACAAAATGAGAACTCTTGTATATCTTTGGAAGATTTGTATTAATATTCTGCACACCGTAGTTGTGAAGAAAATATATCAAATTTGGTTTCTAATAACCTTGCTCCCGAGTTCTGCTACAGCCCTAACAGTCCCAAATCCTCTGATTTGAGTATGATTTTACACACGCCCTGATGGGTTAGGGTTAAACCATGGAGGTTGGTAATGGAAACTTTACCGATCTCATTTTATATCATCAGATATTATTTTAAGAGGTGATATAAATCCTGTAAATTCATGAATGAAAAACTGAGCGTCCTTAATTTTGAGTCAACCTTTTTTCTGAGGATGTACTTGTTTGGTGGATGCAACATGTCACTACCACAATGTCAATTTTTATTTGAAAGTTTGGAAAGAATCATTGGATGAAATCATAGAGGAATGATGAAAGTAAGAAAACAAAAGGAAAAGAAATAAAGCCTGACCATTTCTTCCATAACAACACGGTTCTGTATTCATTTCATAAACTTGTCTCATTTCCCACTTTTCAGATTTGCGTAACTGCGTGCCCCAACGAGACCTTTGCCCCATACTCGCAGTTATTCCTCGGGGCGGTATCGCCGTCGCTGGTGGATTGGGACAAGTTTATCTGTGACTACGGCTTCAACCCACAGTCTGAGTACACCACCGGCTCCTACGTAAGTCATGCGGACCAAAAAGTGGGGCTTTTCTGGAAAGTTGAGCTTCATTTTCAACTTTGACTTTTTCTCTGGCTCTGCAACTTTTTGCCGGCCTTTGACATTTTTAGCAAATTAAATCTCATCTGTGGTGTCACATCAGATGGTTTAATCCCCCCCTCCCAAAAATATCATTGACTGACACCGACACAGGATCTCCAAACTCAGGGACCCATGGGGCCAAGATGTAAACAGAGACAAATATGAAGGTTGAGAATGGTCGTAGAGAATTATCAAAACCACTGCAACCTGTTTCATTACGACAGAAGTACATATTTCAACCTAGAGCTTGTCATTTGTTGATTAATTGGTTGAATTCCCCTTTGTCAACTTGAAACAAACCTCACTTTAACCAGTACTTTCTGACTGCTTGTTAACGAGAAATTCCCTCACTTTCCTGGGTGCTCCTCCTACAAGCCCGCAGAAAGCACTGACCATGCCGTGGTTTATAAAAATCAACACGTCCAACAACAAACCAAATATATTTAAATGTACCTCCTCCGCACAAATGTCCATCAGATTCTTCAGTCGCTTGGATATTTGCCAAAACTATGTCATGTAAATTCTCCTCTCCTTATTAACCTTATAGCAAGGGACCGATGGCTTGGCAGCCATTTTCAGTGATGACAAGTGTGCATCCTACTACCTAGAAAGCACTGCATGTAAGTAATCAGACCGGTGTCATTTCATAAATATTCCCCCTCCCCGAGAAAAATAATAGCAATAAATGAATGGGTAAAAAACCCAAAATTCCCACCTTGTTGAAGTGTTTTGTGTACACTACTGCTGCTTGCTATTGCGCGCTACTGTGATCATTGTTTAAATCCAGTGATACGTATGTGGTCAACTCCCCTTACAACGGAGTGACAGGGGACCAGACAAATTACTTCGTTATAACCAGGATTTTCGTGATAAAAGGTGTGAAAAAATAAGGAAAACACAAGAATCCAAGGAATCAGGTTCTCAGAATTTGCTTTTTATGAGAGAATTTGGTTATAACAGTGTTTTTTTTACTGTATCGAGAATCGACTGTATGCATGGTGTGAGAAACGAACCACTGTGATGGACTTGAGATTGTTTTACTCGTCAGATGCCTCCCGTTGTCTCCCGTCCTTCCTCGTCGATTCGGCCAGCGACGTAGCCAGCGCCTTCTCCTCCCAAGAAACCATTAACACTGCTAATGGGGAATCTTTCAACAGCTCGACAGCCTACCAACTCTTCTCAAAGTAAGTGGAAAAACAATTATTTTGTGTTTTATGATTTCTCGCCCATCTTTCTGTGGCCTTGTGGCTTCTAAGGCAGTAGAGATGATTGCCTCGTTATGTACCAGCCCTCGGCAACAATACCCCTTGAAACCAGTTACAAGCAAATCCAGATCTTTTTTTAAACAATTGGTGAATCACAATATGTGTGCACTTTAACATGAGAGTATTCCTCAAAGGAAGGAAGCAATTACTTTTCTTTAAATAAACCAGATCATGGATATAACAGGCCAACAGGTTGAAGGAACTCATATGAGGTGATGCAATGTACAATTTCATTGGGATCGTTCTGGACATCAGTTGTCATATCATGGCCTTTAAGAAAAAAGTACTTTCTTGGAAAATGTTTGTTCTCTTCTCGTTACACTTTCAGTGATGGCTTGATGTAAAACGACAGTTGTCTGTTGTGTGGGGTCACGGTGTTTCTGTGCAGTTTTTCAATGCAAAACAAATTTTTGGGAAAATGAGAGCATTCTGTGGACTCACTTGTTTGGAAAGTGAGAGCATTCTGTGGACTC